TTGTTCAAACTTTGATCAACACGTGCTGGAGATGCTGCCGTTCTGGACAAAGCTCGAGGGGACGCGCATGTGAGGGCGCCTGAATCAAGTGTGGAAAGGGACTTGCTCGACATCGGGCTCCGCTGCGCGGCTAATCCCACCAGACGGAAGTGCACCAGACACGTCAAGCCCTGGGTTTAAGTTCAGAAAAGGAACCATGTTGAAGGGCAACCCACCTGCCTGACGCAGCTGTTTGAAGTAACAGGAGCTCAGCAGGAGGCCAAGTGCTGCCGGGCCTGCGGGACGTGGGCGCCGCGGCCGGGGCGCAGGCGGGAGAGTCCAGCAGGAGCCAGCGGCAGGGCCACAGCCTGATTCGCGTGCGCTGCTCACGCAGGAGAGAGAAGCTTGGCGCCCGTGAGCTCAGAGCAGGAGCGGTAACGGGAGTGGGCCTGGCCCAGGTGATGGGAGCCACTGCACAGGCCGTGTAGGGGCGGGCCTGCAGGGCACAGGCCCCTGCTCCGAGCAGGAGGCACGCACCTCTGCCCCAGACCGAGGCTGTCGGGGCTGTATGGCGACTGAAGGGACTAGGCTTGCTCAACGCTGACTTCCGGTCCACAGCCGAGAAGGCGGGGAGGGTGCGGGCGGCAGAGGGAGGCCTGGACGGCCTGTGGCCCCAGGAGAGCGCCTGTCCCAGGGAGGGTGCAGGCGGGCTGTGGGGAGAGGACACCACTCAATGGAACAGTCGTCATTTTATTTCCGGGGGAACCCACAGGCATGAACTTAGAGGTGTTCTGAACACACACAGGTTGCATATTTACTCAACTTAGGTTGTTCCACAAAATGAAGAGGCCTCTAATCCATCGAGTTCCAGACAGCCACCCTGCCCTTGGTGCTACTGTAGGACGATGGACAAGGCTTCCCGGGTGACCCAGCATGGCCTCCACCCCCACACGGCAGAGGCCTCACACCTGCCACCTTTCCAGCTGAGACCCCAGAGGCAGAGGAGGTCAGATTCTCAGGTGAATTCAGGGTTTGCACACCTGTGAGCAGAGTAGCTTCTAGCCAAGTCCCACATCACCCTGAGGAGCTCCTGTCACCCCTCCAGAGGATGCGCCTCAGGCCTCTCTCCCCTCTGGCTTTTCCAGGTGCTGGGGTGCTGGGATAGTGGGTGGCCTTGGGACCTTGGCATCAGGGAGGCTCCTGGCTGCTCCTTAGGTCACCTCTGGAGGGAGGAGCTCAGACCACTGGGGCTGCCCTCTAGGGCTGGCAGCTGACCGCTCCGCCATCATCTCAGATCTCATTGTCAGGGTCAGTGCCTGTCCCATCCGTGGTGGGGCCACTGAATGGGGCCAGGAAGACCCCATTGTCCGGGGCTGGTCTGCGAGGGTGCAGCTGCCTCTGCACACCGCCCGGCCCTGGTGGAGGGAGGTGTGGACAGGGAGTAAACCAGGAACTGGAGCTGCCAGCAGCCATGGGGAAGACCAGCCTGCCCCCTGCCCCCAGGGTGGAAAGCTGAGGCCACGCCCCCTGGGATGGGCATGGTGACCCTGGACAGGCTGATCTGTCCACCCAGCAGGGCTCGAGTGCCCAGCCCCGGGACTCGCATGGCAGGAGGCTATTTGGTCGCGGGTGGATGGACTGTCATGGTCACCAGTGTTCAGGACGACCCAGGAAACCTGAGCCCGAGGCCCAGAGCCCCACCCTGAAGGCCTCTCAGACCTCTACCCACCTCCCTCCACACCTTCTCAGGGCAGCACGTCTGCTCTGCGCCGGGGCCCAGGGCGGAGGCTTCCCCTGCATGCTGGTTCCTGAAGCTGTCCCCGTGGTCAGCAGGGGACAACAGCGGAGACAGGTATAGGCCTCCTCCTCCTCACCTCCCTGGCTCAGGGCTATAAATACTCAGGATGCAAATGGTAAACACTCAGACAGTTCCCATCAACTGCAGGTGGATGATTGTGAGTCTAGGCCGAGGCCTCTGGGGGAGTATTTCAGTTCTTAAAAAAGAAACCAAGCCGAGGGGTGACGGGGCCTCAGTCCGGCTGGTCTGGGAGAGGCAGCAGGCTCGTGAGTCAGCCGGAGGGGACCAGGAGAGGGAAGGAGTGACTCCCAACCAGACAGGAGGGCACCCTTGCCTTCTGCTAGGTGAGAACATTATTCCATGAGCATTATTACCTTAATACTTTGTTTAGTGAGAAACTTAAAAAGATCAGTTCTATGCTAACAAGTGTATGTTGGGGAGCTTGTCTGGCCCCCTCTGTGTGCCTGCTCCCCACCCACAGTGGAGGCAGGTCCCAGCCCACATCAGTCCATCACCAAGTCCTGCCGTGGGGGGCTGGGGGTGTTTGGTGGGGGGCTCACAACCCCCCCCCCCAGAGGTGTGGTCATAGGTCCAGAGGCAGTGCAGGGCCCCCCAGCCAGCCTGATGAAACCAGCAGAATCCACATGCGTTCCCCTCCCACAGCCCCACAGGGCCCAGCTGGGGCGCAGTCCCTTCGGCCACCCTCCCCATCCACTGTCATGCCTCCAGGGCCTCAGAATCCTGACCCATGACCAGGCCTCCGGGGTCCCCTTCGAGGAGGAGGAATGGAAGCATTGGTTGCCCTGCATTTGTCTAAACCGTTCCGTCCCCTTTTCCAGAAACTCCTGAACAAACACCAGGCATCAGGAGGACTTCTAATTTAATGTCACAATAATGGAAACCATGGTGGCACAGAACCATGAACTGCATTTTAAATTCCCGCGACCACTAATGAGCCCTGAACCCCTGCTGGAGCTGTCAGGACAAGCACACAGAGTTGACGGCTGCAGCCGCAGAAATAAATGGAGCGTGGCCCGGCCCTCGGCAGCCACGGCCACGGGCGGCATCACGGGACGGCCACCCACATAAGACAGGGTCACAATGAAAACAAGAAAGAACACACACTAAAGAGGAAACTCCCGGAGGAGAATGTGACGTTCCTTGTCCCTTGCAGCCTTTCTGTTCTGTCCAAAGGGAGGCTCAGTCGAAGTCGCACGGGGCACGCCCTCTCCGTGGCCGCGGCTCCGCAGGCCCAGCGCCGACCTCATGACCGCCGACCTTGCCTCCCGCCTCTGGACCGGCGCGCGATCACGATTTGTCTTCTGCGCTAAAAAGGTGAGGCTGGCGGGGCCGAGCGTGCGCACGGCCGGTAACCGGGGCGACGGCGCGGCCGAGCAATTTCTTGCACAATTTGAAACTCATTTTTCTGTGGAGGAATCAGTCTAACAGCACATCCCACTGTTGGTGAAAATAACTTCTTCTCCCAACACTTCTCGGAAAAAAGCACTTTTAATGTACTTGTCATTAAATAAGATTTTAAAAGTGACAATTTAAAGAGCGATTGAGGAGAATCCCACATTCATCATGAGCTCGGGGTTCTAAAATCAGAAGAAAAACAGAAAGAGCAGGAAGACAAGCGCGTGGATGGCATGTCACACACTGTCGCACCTGCGGCCCCCAGGGCCCCAGGGCGGCTGCCCTGCCCTCCCAGGGCTGTTTCTCCACCTGGGCGGTGGTTCCTCAGCTGTTCCAGTTGGCAGCTGACAAGCATCACGACACAGGGCCAGAGACCACAAGCACCCTTCTGTCCACCTCCAGTGAGGGTCCGGCCTCACCTGAGCCCTCTCCTCAAACCAGACACCGCCAGGCTGTGACCACGGCCCCTCATCGGCGCTGCCCACGGCCGGGCCCAGGCTCCTTCCTGGAACCTCATGGCCACAGGGGGCAGAACGCCCCTCCGCCCCCCGCTGGGCTGAGGACCCGAGGGGGTCTGGGTCACTTCTGAGTGCCGGCCCAGCCTGCCGCCCGCACCCCAGTTCGCTCCCTTGGTCCCTTCATGTTTGGCTGCAGGGAGAAGCCCACAGGCCCAGCCGGGGCTGGGGAACGTGGTCGGGACTCCTCGGCCCCGCTCACCCTCGCTCCCTGGAGCAGCCTCGGTCGGACGAGTCCGCTGTGACACCGGCAGACGGGGTCTCCAGCCCCTCCGGAGGCCCTGGCCCAGCCGGCACACAGGGAGACCCCCACCCCCGTCCGTCCCGTCCCGTCCGAAGGCCCAGCAGGGAAGGCAGAGTCCCCAGCCTGGTCCCAGGAGGTGGCCAGAGCAGGTTCATCTGTGGGCCTGGAGCCCGGGCAGCAACCTGGCAGCTTCGGGGAGGGGCCCAGGCAGAACCTGGACGCACAGTGCGTCCCTGCCGCCGCCTCGGCCTCCTTTCCTTCCCTTCGTCTGTGAACACGGGCGTCTGAAGTGCTGGAGAGGGAGGGAGGCCCAGGAGGAGGTGAGCCCGGTGCGGACCCCACTGGGTCGGTGCTGCTTGAGGGGGGAAGTTGGGAAGCTGGCCCGCGCGGGCAGTAGAGCCGGCAGATCCTTCCCGCCCACCCCACTCCCTGTCCACGCTGTGGCCTCGCCCCAGGGCTCCTCCTCTCTGGACGGGTGACTTCAGAGTTTAAAACGAGGCCCTTCAACAAGTGAGCCCTTCAAAACATCTGCTCCGCCTGCTCCGAGCTCTCTGGCTGCCAGCGCAGCCGGCAGCCCGCAGCCCAGTGGGCGGGACCTCCAGCGGCGGGCAGGCCGCCTGGGCTGACAGAGGCACCGCCCACGGGAGCCTGGGGAGGTGGGCAGTCAGGGCAGGGGCAGGGGCAGGGGCAGGGGCAGGGAGACGCGGACCTGTGGCTTCCCCTGCAGCCTGCTCTCACAGGAGACGGCCTGCCCCGCGATCCCATCAGTCACTGCTCCCTGTACACACACAACCAAAGTGTCTTCATGGCGACTGGCAAAGGACCCCTGTGAGCCCCTCAGCAGGGCCCAGGACCCTGCACCTGGGGGCTTGCCAGCCAGCCAAGGGAGAACCCCGCAGATGTGCGAACACCAAGAACCTGACCCAGGGACGCAGCATGGAGGCGACTGAGCAGACAACAGCGCCGGGCCAGGCCAGGCGGCAGCCGACACGGTTCCGGAGCACCCCTGGTGGGGCTCACGGGGGGGGGGGGGGGGGGCAGCCAACAAAGAGGACGCGGGTGCAAAGGGCCAGGTTTGCATTCACACACCCGGAGGGCTGCAGACAGGCCTGCCCAGTGGGAAGCTGTACAGGTTACACACAAGGACTTCTGCACATTAAATCAGCAGGTGGCTCAGTAACTATTTCCTTGTCAGCCTCCCGAAGGCGGGATGCATCTCAGGACCGACAGGTTAAGGACCCAGCAGCTCGGGTGACTGCTGCTCCAGCGTCCACAGGCTGGTTTGCTCCTGTGTGTTTCGTTGAACTTCCCAGAGGTTTCTTGTCAGCCGAGGTGTCGATGGTGGCCTGTGCCACGTTCAGGAGACGGGCACCTGGCTTCTCTCTCCACCCACGCTTAACCGTTCAAAACCAAGGAAAGAAAATTACAGTGTCACAGGGGTTAAAGCAAGCGGTTTGCTGTTTGAGCATTTCAGAAAGATCCAGAACACTATGATTCAGCAAATGGAGAGTAACTAAAAGAAATAAAAAGTCATTTAGTTGCCAGGGTGAGGTGTCCCATAAAAGGAAACGCTATGGAAACCCATGTCTAAGGTGCCTCCAGGTGCTAAGGGCCTACGTGTGGCTTCGCTCCAGGCCCACAGGCCACTCCTAGGCGTGGGCTGGCCACTTCCTTCCCTTCCCTGCCCGGGAGATTAGAGAGGTAGGGTGTTAATGGTGGACTGATGAGGACTGAAGACTCATGTTCTCCCCCTGGAGACCGGCCTGATTCGAGGAGCACAAAGTGGCCCTTCCTGACCTGGGGAGCGGACCTGTTCTGTGTGCTCCCGTCTGCAGGGGGAGGGCGGAGATAAAGACCCAGGCCGTTCCTGCCGCCATCTGGGCCCACCGAGTCTCTGCGCTTCAGAGCCTTTATTGGTGCTGGCGGCTGGACGAGCGAGGGTTGGAGCCTGGGCTGGAGGGCAGGGAGCTGCCGGGGGCCTGCAGGGCACGGGGCTCGAGCTGCTGACCCGCCAGGCTGGTGTCTCCTGTCCCCGACTCCTCGCTGTTCTCTTCCTTCTGGCCACTCTGCTCCGGACACTCAAAGTGGACACAGTGGAACACCTGGTGAGAGAAGGTGAAGGTCTGTGAGTGAGGGGTCAGCACCCCACCTGGAGCCACCGCCGGGGGGCACTGTCCTGCCCGGCTCTGGGGTTGCCACGGGGAGTTGGAAGAAGTCTGCCCTGCGCCCCTGTCCCTGGGGGAGACGCCCAGCAGCGACTGGAAGGTTGTAGTCCCCTTTCAGGTAAAAGCACATGGACTGGTTCCTCTCCTGTTGGCCACTTATGTCTCGGGCGCTCTTCTTTCCAATGAGCGAGTTAACTCACAGTGGGCAGCTGGGCCAGAAGTCAGTGGGCCAGCGGACGGTGGTGATGGTCACCGCTCGCGAGGACCCTCAACACCACTGAACTGGACTCTCTAAATCGTGGCTTGGATGGTGTGTGAATTATCTCAGCAAAGTTGTAGCTTAAAAAAAAGCACAGGGGCCCTGACCGGCTTGGCTCAGTGGTTAGAGCGTCGGCCTACAGACAGAAGGGTTGCGGGTTCGATTCCCGGTCAAGGGCATGTACCAGGGTTGCAGGTTCAATCCCCGACCTGGTTGGGGTTGTGCGGGAGGCAACCAATCAATGTTTCTCTCTCTCCCTCCCATTCTTTTTTTTTTTTTTATCCTCACCTGAGGACATTTCTCATTTTTTTGTTCAGGTAGAGTGGGAGAGAGAGGAACAGAGAGAGAGAGAGAAACATCGACGTGAAAGGGACACATCGAGTGGCTGCCACCCGCCCGACCAACCAGGGCCGGGGACAAACTGCAACCGAGGTACGTGCCCTTAGCGGGAACCGAACCCGGGTCTCTCAGGACCGCAGGCCGACGCTCTAACGGCTGAGCCAGACCGGCCAGGGCTCTCCCTCCCATTCTATCTAAAAAATCAATGGGAAAAGGCCCTCAGGTGAGGATTAAAAAAAATAGCTACAGGGTGTGTCAGCCCAGGGAAGACCCAGGCTTTTCTGTAAGGGTGCAGAGAAGCCCCCTCCCTGGCTCCCTCTGGGTACCTAATTATATGCTGGGGAGGGGACTTCGCCCTGATGTGGCTTGTGCCACCTAGAGTAACCATCCTCACACAGAGGGGCACAGAGGGGCTCCCACCGCCAGGTCCAGGAGGCAGGGGGTCCACCTCCCCAGTTGCGGAAGCATTTCCCAGCCTGTTGTCAGTGCCGGGCAGCTGCGGGCAGGCAGGGCACCAGGCACACACGCTGGCCAACAGGGTGGGCCTGGCCCTGACCTTGAGAACACAGGTGTGGGGAGGGCGGGGCGGGGGTCAGGCCAGTGCACAGCAGGGGAGAGCCTGCAGGGACCCCCACCCCTCCCTCAGGCCTCGGGGGTCCTCCTCCACTGGCTTCCAGCGCTGGCTCAGGGGGGGCTCACAGCCTCTGCAGTGGCCTCTTCAGTCTGGGACACAGGTGTGTGGGAGCTTTGAGGAAATCAATTTCCAGATCCTCAAATTCTGTATTTTCTAAAACTGCCTCAACGCGACTGAACTCACAACACCCTGCCCTGGGCAGACCCCTCGCCAGGCCAGGCCTGCGGGGCACACAGCTTTCCATGGCCAGGGCCTGCCGCCTCCGTCCCTGTCCTGAGGGTGAAGTGGCCTCAATGAGAGTCTAAATTCAGACCTTAAGTGGATTCACAACTCATGTAATTTTAAAAAATGTAACTGGAATTTCTCTGGAATTATGAAACCATTTCCAAGGTGCCCGCGGGCGTGAGTCTTCCAGGGGCTCATGGTTGTCTGTTCGCTGGGCTGGCTGAGCCCACGTCACGTCATCAGCGTTTATTCCTGAGCACCAGGCCTCCCTTCCACCTCCTGCTTAGTGTTTCCTGTCTCAGTGACAGGAGTAACCCAACTCCAGAAACATCTCACTTCTCAACCTCAAAATGCTCCAAGGACTACGTCTCTCCAAAGCTCCTGTAGGACCTGTGCCCACACAGCGTGAGGGGGTCCCTGCAGCACCGAAGGGCCCTGGACACAGCTCTGGGGGAAGGGAGGGCGGGAGTGTCCCAGGCTCTGGAGGGATCACGGAAAGTTGGGGGATCGGGGCCTTGAGGAGGGATCGGGGGCCTTGGGGAGGGATCGGGGGGCCTTGAGGAGGGTTGGTATCTGGGCGGACCTGAGCAGCACACCGTGGGGGAGGGGGTCAGTCTGCAGCAGGGACCCTCGTCATCTGCTCATCCCACAGGGACTGATGGCCCGGCCTGTGCGTCCAGCAGAGATTCTGCCTCGGGTGCAGGTGCTGGTGACAGGATGTGGGACATCCCAGAGGACAGTGCTGGGAGGGAGCAGCTTGGGCCACCAGCTTCTTCAACCAGCAGTGAGAGCTCCCAGTGAGGCCGCAGAGGCCTAGGGGAGGCGCCACGCCCAGGAGGTATTTAAGAGAAAGACAGACAGGGCCTTGGCTGCTTACTAGAAGTCAGGTTTAGAGGAGGGGGCTCCATCAAGTCCCCACTTGTAGGGTCGGGCTGCACAGCTCCCTGGGGAGGCCGAGGGGATGAGGGGGCCGCAGGACCCAGCCAGAGGCAGAGGAGAAGATAGTGTAGGGGCAGCAGGGAGCAGACAGGCCTCAGCTGGAATGGGATTTATGGGTGAGTTCCAGCTCCTGAGGGTCCCCAGGGCCCAAGAAAGTCAGTCTTAAGGAAACTGGGGTGCTGTCAGTGATGGGACAGGAAGTGGCTGCAGGCCCGGGGGCAGAGGACCAGCTCTGGAACCAAAGCCTCCTGGAGAAACGCCTGGGAGGGCACAGGCTCTCCACAGCTGCTGCCTGGCCCCAGGCTTTCTGGCTGTGGTCCTCGGCGTCTCCTACACCAGCCGAAGGCCTGGGTAAGGGAGGAAACCTGTTGTAAGGCTGGTGTTGAACTCGCAGATGCTAAGGCGGAACTGTGAGTGGGGACAGTCCTGTGGATTTGCCTGAAGCCTGTGTGCACAGGCTGGAAGGAGGCCCCAAGGCACAGGGGTGTGGCCACGCTGAGCCCCTGAGGGCAGAACACACTGCTGGCCCACCCAGTGTGCACAGGGGAGCCCAATCCTCCTGTTTCCTTGGGGAGGCCTCCACCCTTCCCTCCCCAGGGCCTGCTGGCTGGAGAGGAGCCAGTGAACTTGGGATCTGCCCATGTTTGGTGAGCCTGTTCCTGGTTAAGGACCCGTCGTCGTCGTCGGGAGGGGATAAGCACTGGTACCCTGGACATGGGCAGAAGGCAGGGCGAGGCTGCTGCACACCCACCCCTTGCCCTGAGGGAGGGCCAGGCAGAGGAGCCTGTAGGGGCTCAGGAAGTACCACTGCGGCAAGGCTGAGGGGACGAGGGGCTGCCCACGTCCAGCGGGAGCTTCTCATCGTCCATAGCCCGAGCACCACACATGCATGCACACACACCATGTGCACACACCACACACGCATGCACACACACCATGTGCACACACCACACACGCATGCACACACACGTGCACACACACACACACATACACCTATCCATGGTGGAATCAAGTTCACAGGGAAGACAAATGTAATATCAACTGTGAAATTACATCTAAAATAAAATTCCGTGCTTACCTTCTTGCATCACTATTTTTTCCATATTCCCACTTCAATTCATTTATCTGCCACTGTTTCCAATTTCACATTTCAAACTCTAATGTTAGGACTAAGTGAGGCATTTGTCTTCGGCCTGTTCTCCTCATTTTGGCAGACTGTTCTCGTGGAGTGAGCGGGTTTCTCTTCTGAAAGCTCAGGCCTGCGCTCCCGGCAGACCCAGTGTGGCTGCCGCACGCTGGCCCTGGCCCCTCTCCCTCTATGTCAGATCCCCCTCTCCGGCCCGTCTGCAAGCGCTTACCTGTCACAGGCAGACGGAAGGGCCTTTCGTGGACATTTAAAAACTATCTGAGCTCTGAGCAATGCAGGGTACGTTTGAAAAGCCTTTCCTAAGTGGCAACATTAACCTTGTCTTCTCCATCGGCTTCACCTCCCTGAAACATCTGAAGTGACAAGACCATCTTTGGTGGGTTATGAACACTCCTCTTTCCAAGCATGGGGCACTGGGGACACACCGGACAGGTAGCCAGGGCGACCGCCACACAGCTCCGCTCCTGCACGTCCTCCGATACTCTCGCTGCCCCAGAGACGCCTGTCCTCGTCCTCAGTACGCCCACCCGGCTTTGTCCTGTGCCCGCCTGCAGCTTCTCCGAAGGGGCACCTGTCTGCGCGTCCCCTTCCTGACCCAGTCGGGTTCTTTAATCGGTTATCCGTGTAAGTCACACTCTGGCCCGTCAACGCCTGTCCTCGGAGCTCCAGCCGGTGCTCACCCTGCACTGCCTCAGGTCTGCCCTGCCCTGTCTCCTTCCTCTGCGCTCCCGTTCTAAAGAACCAGCCATCACCTGCCTGTTGAGCCCCCTGGGGCTCTGGGTGGCTCACCCTGCGACCAGACATGAGGACCGAGGCCACCTCAGAGCTGCGCTGTGGTCTGTGACCCTGGTGTCCCCATGTTCTCTCATGTGAGCTCCTCTCTCTTCAGCCTCCTGATTCCAGGTGAGCTCTGCCCGGCCCTCACTGCAACGCTTCACGGCGCCTCCTGCCCAAGGCCCAGCCCGCCCTCCTGCCTCTGGGTCCCCACTGAGCTCAAGGATCCCGGGTGCTCATCCTTTCTCCCGCTCAGGGCCTTGTACAAGAACAAACAAATCAATGAAAACCCAGGACTGAAAAGTAAAGTTACAAAAGATCTCAGTGTGGCCTGGCTCTGACTGATGGCTGGTTCTTTAGAATGCGCTTGGACCCCAGAAAGGGTCCCCATAAGCGACGCTGTCCAGAGGGCAGGTGGCTTTCTGCTCTGCACTGAGCTGGCAGCAGGCCTGGGCAGACACGTCTGCAGTGACACTCCGTGAACGCCACCCGCCTGATGCCCGCTCCTCACCTCGTGTCACCCCCACTTCTCTACGTCAGTGATGCTAACTGCACCTGTACCCAAACCTGCTCTAAAATAATGCAGATGGCTGCTACCCCAACACACCCAACAGTCCTGA